TCTTTTTTTCTTTTCACATGTAATATTGCTTTTGTATTTGTCAGCTATTCTTCACATGTTTCATCTAGTCCCGTAGGGTGATTTCTACTCTGCCTCATTTCTTGGCTAAGAAAAAATAATCCTCAATGACTATCACTGTAAAGGACGACCAACGATATATATATAATCAATTTGCACATCATATGTATAATATGTACATCCTTACTTTTGACAATGTGTAGACTCATTCTTATGTTGTGTGCCATTTTTACTGATCTTGCCAATCGATATTTCCTTTGTAAATAAAGCCATATGCCTACCAAATGTGCGTGTATATAGTGGTAAGTGCGGGATTTCATATATGCAAGGTCAATAACATTGCTGTAAATGTAGCATATAAATACTTAACTAAATGCAATATGTGCGACAATGATATATGATATTAGGATAAATAAAACACTTAATCTCATTTCATTGTAAGGGGAAGAGATCTTACTCTTCATTGTCGTTGTTTCCAAAGGGCATTTTTGCCCATTTATGGATGTGACCTTGTCCTGACGTTCGCAACAGACATGCCAATCCCATGTGCAGCATATGCCTACCAGTCCTTTGTGGTCTTAGGAGATTTGAGTGTGCAGCTCTCACGCCACGGCCGGGGTTCGATTCACCGTCTGGGGCACCTTTTCATTTTAACAATTGGAATGATCGTGCTGGAAGTCAACCACAACGACTGTTTCTATTTTGTATGTATTGTCCCTACCCGCAACATGCGTAATGAATACGTCTTAAATGCTACTTTTGATATCTAGTTTCATTTCAGAAAAGGTTTGTTATTCACATATACTTCTACTTCGATATAAACTAAAGAATTCTAAAATTTCAGATTTGTCCTGCATAAACAAGTGAAAAGGCATATTTGAGACTCTCACCAATATTTTAGAATATTTCAGCATTTGTTCTAATACGTGTCACATTAAGCAAATGAAATCCTCCGAATGAAATCAACTATATCCATGTTGTTTTTGAAGTAAGAAAAATGAAACAGAAGGAAGCGTGCATGGGTAAGTGTAAAAGAGTATGTAGGAAATATATCGGGGTTGCAACATGTTCTTGGTTTAAACAATACCTTCCCCTTCCATATTATTGCAGGGTCCCAGGTGGTCTAGTGGTTAGGATTTGGCGCTCTCACCGCCACGGCCGGGGTTCGATTCCCGTCTGGGAAGTACATGTTTTGTCATTTTCTTCGGTAATTGTCAGCTATTCTTCACATGTTTCATCTAGTCCTGCAGGCATTTTCACTTCGCCTCATATTTGGCCAAGAAAAATAATCGCAACGACTATCACTGTAAAGGACGACCAACGATATATATACAATCAACACTTGCACATCATATGTATAATACGTACATTCTTACTTTTGACAATGTGTAGACTCATTCTTATGTTGTGTGCCATTTTTACTGATCTGTCAATCGACATTTTGCAAATATAATATGCCCACCAAATGTGCGTGTATAGCGTAGGATTTCATATATGCAAGGTTAATAACATTAACCGTAAATGTATATAAACAATAACTAAATGCAATATAACGCGACAATGATATATGATATTAGATGAATAAAAGACTTCAATCTTCATTCTCACAAGGGGAAGAGATCGCACCTTCATTGTCGTTGTTTCAAAAGGGCATTTTTGCCCATTTATGGATGCGACCTTGTCCTGACGTTCGCAACAGACATGCCAATCCCATGTGCAGACATGCCCATCAGGGTCCCAGGTGGTCCTAGTGGTTAGGATTTTGGCGCTCCTCACCGCCACGGCCGGGTCTGATTCCCCCGTCTGGGAAGTACCTTTTTCATTTTAACAATTTGAATAATCGTGCTGGAAGTCAACCACAACGACTTGCTTTTATTTTGTATGTATTGTCCTCACTCCGCAACATGCGTAACAACATGTCTAAATGCTACTTTGATATCTAGTTTCATTTCAGAAAAGGTTTGTTATTCACATATACTTCACTTCGATATAAACTAAAGCATCTCGGCACTCAGATTGTCCCATAAACAAGTGAAAAGGCATATTTGAGACTCACCAATATTTTAGAATATTTCAGCATCATTTTGTTCTACGTGTCACATTACAAAATGAAATCCTCCGAATGAAATCAACTATATCCATGTTGTCTCTGCCCCCTCAGCAGAAGTAGACTCGACCGGTTCCTTGGTTAATTTGGCACATGCAACATGAGTGTCTCATGACAATGTGGAGGCCACAGCTATTACTCATCCCAAGGATGGACTGCACCCAAGCCTTCCTCTACGATTCATTCATTTACATTTGAAACTCTATTTGAAGTAAGAAAATGAAACAGAAGGAAGCGTGCATGGGTAAGTGTAAAGAGTATGTAGGAAATATATCGGGGTTGCAACATGTTCTTGGTTTAAACAATACCTTCCCTTCCATATTATTGCAGGGTCCCAGGTGGTCTAGTGGTTAGGATTTGGCGCTCTCACCGCCACGGCCGGGGTTCGATTCCCCCGTCTGGGAAGTACATGTTTTGTCATTTTCTTCTTCGGTAATTGTCAGCTATTCTTCACATGTTTCATTCAGTCCTGCAGGCATTTCTAATTTCGCCCCCATTTTGGCCAAGAAAAATAATCCTTAATGACTATCACTGTAAAGGACGACCAACGATATATATGCAATCAACACTTGCACATCATATGTATAATATGTACATCCTTACTTTTGACAATGTGTAGACTCATTCTTATGTTGTGTGCCATTTTTTACTGATCTGTCAATCGACATTTTGCAAAATATAATATGCCTACCAAATGTGCGGATTTCATATATGCAAGGTCAATAACATTGCTGTAAATGTATATAAATACTAACTAAATGCAATATGTGCGACAATGATATATGATATTAGATGAATAAAAGACTTAATCTTCATTTCTGTTGTAAGGGAAGAGATCTACTCTTCATTGTCGTTGTTTCAAAAGGGCATTTTTTGCCCATTTATGGATGCGACCTTGTCCTGACGTTCGCAACAGACATGCCAATCCCATGTGCAGACATGCCCATCAGGGTCCCAGGTGGTCTAGTGGTTAGGATTTGGCGCTCTCACCGCCACGGCCGGGGTCTGATCTCCCCGTCTGGGAAGCACCTTTTTCATTTTAACAATTTGGAATAATCGTTAACGGAAGTCAACCACAACGACTTGCTTTATTTTGTATGTATTGTCCTCACTCCGCAGCATGTAAATAAATTACGTCTAAAATGCTACTTTGATATCTAGTTTCATTTCAGAAAAGGTTTGCTATTCACATATACTTCACTTCGATATAAATAAGCATCTCGGCACTCAGATTGTCCCATAAACAAGTGAAAAGGCATATTTGAGACTCACCAATATTTTAGAATATTTCAGCATCATTTACCGTGTCACATTACAAAATGAAATCCTCCGAATGAAATCAACTATATCAAAATTTGTCTCCCCTCAAGAGCACTAGTCAGAGTCAAAGCTTATGGAAAATGAAACGCCCGACCCCTGCCTCCATCAGAAAGAGAACGTTATTCGAGTGCAGTTTGGGAGTCGCAAGTTCCCTCGAAAGCGTTTGACGTATGCAAGGCTCTTGAACTTGAATTGGGGGACAACACTGTTTATTGTTACACACCAAGACACAATTATTATGAAATTACGTTAGCGGAGAATGTAAAAATCACTGGTGATGTGGGCTAATTGTCAACAATGAGGTGTATGATATCACACCTTTAGTAAATGACAAAGTTGTTGTGTCATTCATGAACTCTTGCCCAGCTACCAACAGATGGAGAAATAATGGAAGTTCTATTATCTGTTTGGAGAGTATATGAAGTTGGATAATTCATCCGCAGATCAAAATTCCTGGTACTAACTGGGAAGATGGAACCAGTACACACAGGTAAAGTTTCCTACAGGAATTCATATAGTCTTCCATACAGCATTAAATTTAAAACGCATGGAGGATTTGACTTCTTCAGAGTTCTCCAATGATCAGGTGAAAGTATGTCATCATTGTCTTCTGATCAGCATGGAGAAAAGGAACTGCCCGAACATTGTGCAGAAACTGTGGATCCAGGATGTTCAATACAATTGTCGTGTTCCCAAATGCCACAGGTAAACGTAAACCTAAGGATTACTTTTGACAATGTGTAGACTCCATCCTATGTTGTGTGTGCCATTTTACTGATCTGTCAATCGACATTTTGCAAAATATAATATGCCTACCAAATGTGGTTACCTCCCTTGGTGAGGTGGTGTGAACACGGTGATTTGCAGTGCTCTGATATTTTCAGTAAGTACTTCATCGGTTGTGAAGATTCCTGTCTCATCTCTTGAACAAATGGTACATTATGGTTTATGGTTATTCTGAAACCTTTGTTTATTGAAAAAGTTGACTATGAGCCACCAGGCTAGGGGCAAAGGCCACCCCCTATCAACAGGTGAAAACAAGGAAAATGGCCGACCCCGTGTCTATCAGAAAGAGAACGCGTTATTCGAGTGCAGTTTGGGAGTCATGCGTTCGGGCCTCGAAAGCGTTTGACGGGCTGCAATGCTCTTGAACTTGAATTGGGGACAACACTGTTTGTATTGTTGCACACCAAGACACAATTATTAAGGAAATTACCTTATAGCGGGAGAATTCCGCCTGTAAAATCAATACTGGGTGATGGGCCAATTGTCAACAATGAGGTGCATGATATCACACCTTCCTTTAGTAAATGACAAAGTTGTTGTGTCATTCATGAACCTGCCCAGCTACACAACAGGTGATGGAGAAATAACGGAAGTTCTACATTCAGTTTGGAGTATATGAAGTTGACACCATTCGTAGACGAAAAAATACCTTGGTACCTTAACTGGGAAGATGGAACCAGGTACACACAGGTAAAGTTTCCCACAGGAATTCATATATAGTCTTCCATACAGCATTAAATTTTAAAACGCATGGAGGATTTGACTTCTTCAGAGTTCTCCATATAATGATCAGGTGAAAGTATGTCATCATTGTTCCTGATCTGATCAGCACAGAGAAAGGAACTGCCCGGAACATTGTGTGTGCAGAAACTGTGGATCCGCAGGACATACCCAATACAACTGCCGTGTTCCCAAAATGCCACAGGTGTAAAACGTAAACCTTAAGGAATCGCAACTGCTTTCTTGGCTATGATGATGGGTCTGTAAGAAAAATTATGATACCGCTCAAGGTGGTGGATTATGAAAATGAGGGATGACATGAGTGACATGGAGGCGGATGCGATAGCCTAGTGGGCCAGTTCTTCAGGGAAATGGAAGAAGAAGGCGAAGAAGAAGAAGAGGAAGAAAGGATCAGGACAAATCCACTCGGTGACATTGAAGAATTAGTAGAAGATGTTTCTGAAGTCACAGTTGATCAGAAACACATGATCGACTTTGTCTCTTGACATTTTACTAGAAACAATTGATAGAAGAAGCATTCATGTTGGTAAGCGAAGAGTGATACCAAACAACGTGTATCTCCTTGTGATAACAGTATCATAGACGATGTCACAAGCACACACCGTTAAACATGATAAGACTAGCTGAGTTAATGAAACAAATGACAATTATATACATGTTGATGATCGCGATGTGACAGAAGTTCCTACAGAAGACAATCACAAATGTTCTGGGTACAGCCTTATCGAGGAGATGGTGCTCCAGGAAGCAGGAGGAGTAAATGGAATGTCTTGAAACCTAGTGAGGATGTTATTAAGGCTCATGTGGGAAGGCCTCCTAGAAAAAAGAAGGATGTGATAAAATCCAGAAAGGGAAAAAAAGATCACGTTAAAACAAATCTTGATGCTTCATATATGTATTTATTACTTCACTAATTACATGAACATATGGTCATGGAATGTAAAATGGTCTAAGAGATGATGAGAAAGTTTGAATTGCGATAAGCATCTTCATCAACACGTCAAGCTACGTAGACATAGCATTTCTACAGGAGACGTTCTGGGATGACACTTTTGTCAATAACTATAAACATATATCTTCCCCGAAAAATCTTATTTTGCAATTCAACAAGTGTAAATCGTAGGTAGGTAGCTTTTCATATTGGTGTCGCAAACTGTCAATACCTCAAATTAACATGGTAACGGGAGACTCTGAGGGCAGACTATTAAAAGCAGAAGTTGATGTGGATGGTAAAACATATTACTTTACTGAATGTATATGCTCCCAATGGCCCTTCGATGAAAGGCTAACATTTTATAAAAGAACTGGAAAAGTGGATAGAACCAAATAATATGATTGGGGAGGAGATTTTACCGATATACTAAATCCTTACGCTGGTCAGTCCGTAAATACAAACATGGGTGAGATGATTTTGTTGTTTGCAGCAGCAAAGTATCCTACATGGCTGACGAACCGGTGGTATGTTATCTGCTTCTTGTTGGGAAGTAGACCATAAACTAGAGGAAACAAAGTCCTCTGCCGCATGAATCGAGTAGAGACAGGTGAATATCTCATGGACTTGTCAGCAAGTCGTTACAGAAGACTGACTCAAGTGACGAAGGATGTCTAAAGCTGTAAATACCAGTATCTTCGTCTTCGCCATCACCCGTACGTGTTCGCCACTGGATCTCTTGGTGTAGAGGCTTGGCAGTTCGATCTGGGAACGATGTCTTGGTAGTGCATGGATCGCTCTTTTCACGACGTTTCATTCATCTTCTGCCACCACGTCTCGTGAATTCTCTTCTATCTGATTTTGTACCCCTAATGCTAAGCATATGTTTTTGTAATTTATCACAACTTTTATGTTTAAAGATTTCTATATCTGATGCCTATCCATGACTACATATATTATCTCATCATAGGGCATTCATGCTTCACTGTGGCATGGTATCTCAGTGGGCTGAAGCACCTATAAAAATCAGCTTCAGTCTGGACTAGTACAAGCAGCCGCACAATCATACATAAACACGCATGCACGTCGTCATATGAGCGAAATATTCTCGCACCTATGCCAAAATCAATGGGTAAAAATCATGATTATTTTCCACTCTGATGGTCATATAAAAATGACCCATAACATTGTTGCATACTTATGCCCATCTCAGGTAAGGTCTCGTGGAATATTTTCAAAATAAATTGTCCAGCTATGAATTTTGATGACTTCAAAACAAATATGTTTACATGCCAGTCCATTTGAAATAAACCATTGAAACCTAGGAGTGTTTCCATTAAATATAATCTCATGGATTTCTAAATAGTGGTTGATAGAATTTGAAGTAATGGTCATATTCCTTCGTTATTTGATTCCATGCAGCGAAAAGCTGAGCATACAATGGGCTTATATATTCTTTAAATAAGTTTTCATATTTTCAAGAGATTTCACAGAAAACAGTCAAACATTTATTTTTTCCAACTTATGTCTCAACCCAATGTGGAAACAGTTATTACAGCAAACACATAGCGAACTCATATGATATTGCCACCATTCTGTAGAGTAAGCTGCCCATGGTCAACAGTGG